CGGATGTTGAGTTTCCACTCGAAAAGCTTTTGCATGAAACTCATCGAAAAAACGTAGAAACTACGTTAGCTATGGATCTTGTGGGATGGCGGACTAGATTCATGTGGACCAACAGCACATGTCTCACTGCAGTACATACTGACTACAGAAACCTCAGAAACCCTTATATGATAGAACTCTGATGAATCCGTTTAAAGGGCCCTTACGGGGGCCGCAAAGGATAAGTATAAACGCGGAGCTTGTCGACTCTTCCCCCAGGCTGCACTGGGAAAGGTTGCAGCTTCGAGGTTTTTGTATCGGCCTCTGAAGGCTCTTTGAAGTTTGGAAGTTTGGCATTACAGAACAATACAGGAACCCTGCACGAACTCCGAACCCTAGTAAGAAGAATCTTCAAATCCTAAACCCTAAGCTGCTGAAGTGCCCTAGTTTAATGCTTTAGTATCAAGAAATCCTAACCGCCTACACCCTAAACCGCCTAACCCTAAACCCCTAAACCCTAAAAGGGCACCCCTAAAGGGCACCCTGATGTCTTAGTATCAAACTTGTTTCGGCACCTTCTGCTCCACTTCTTTCAGCGTGTCCATCAACCGCGTCTCGACCTCCGGGGCTTGGGCTTTTTTGGGGTTTAGGGCTTCAGGGGTTCATAAGCCCAAAGGGTCCTAGGTACTGTTATGGAGGATACTTTCCCAAATCATAGTAACAATTCCTAGTATAGAGACCCTACATTCTACTATATAAGTACTTTGGACCCTTTGGGAAGTTAAACTTGACAGTATAGCAGTTCCTAAATGGCTCCAGTTGCCTGAAGAAGTGGCAACTGGGGTACAGAGCGACCTACCGTCAAGGTATCTAGTGCCAGAGAAGCACAACCAAAGCGCTAACTAGATTGATAATTGGCGAAGAAACCCGTGGCTCCATGGAGCTACGGGTTGCAGTTACCTAGTGGTAAGTTATCAGTCATATGAGATGAATATCAGTATCTCCGTTTCTCATGATGCAGAGAACAGGAACCTAGAAAGTGTGCCGTATTCTCACACCCCGGATTGCAACGATGATTGGATTAGATGGCGGCTTGACTTGGCTTTTGTGGCCTGGGCTTCCAGATCGCGACGCTCGTTGAAGTTCTTAGCCACGTATGGACCTCAGGGTGCAGCAGCAAGCTGCACACTCCGAACTTTCCGATGTTCCATTTGATGCCTCGAACATATCCCGTTGGACTCACTATCGCTGCTGAAACATGTCTTGTTGTAGACCATGGCACAGAAAGCACGGGTTTGGCAGTGACAAGGTGCAACCGGAAATCCTCTACCCGCTCTTCTCCAGCTGGATCTTCCGTGACAGCTATTACTGAAAGACATGCAAGAGCCAAACATTTTCTTTTACGTGATGGGACCTTTCTGCATTGCACAGCATCAATCCAACCCGAGCATCACCAGGAACGCGGCGATCTTCTGACTAAACCATGACACCTGAACAGCTGGGAGCTCCTTCAACCAGTCTTCTGGCAGGTTTTGGTAGCCCAATCGGGCTCCGAGCAGCGCCCCCGCCACAGCAGCATTGGAATCTGCATCCCCTGCCTCCATGGAAACCGCTTGGATGGCCGTCTTGAAATCGTCCACATGTAGGAAAGACCATGCCGCTGCTGCCAGGGGTTTGTAAGTGTAGCCGATGCCGCCAGATCCTAGCTCAAGCGCACTGAGTCCATCGACAGCAACATCCACATAGCGCAAGAGCTCGTCGACGTCTCCTCCATCTAAATGCTCGCTTGCTTGCAGCGCCACTGTTAAAACTAGCTGTCTGCGCTGCTCAAGCGTTGCAGTGCTGTGCCCTGAGAGAAGACGGGCCAAGATCAACGCGATGCAAACGCAGCTGGCCACACACCTTGGGTCGGCGTGCGTGACTGTTGCCGAAACAACCGCATTGTGACGGACGACCGCCTCATCCCAGAAACACCCCAAGCCGGCAGCTGCACACCTCATGATGGCGCCGTTGGCTGCAAGGCTGCAACCCGTCTCGCGCCATACCACGTCAGCAGCTACACTCGGGGCGACCTGGGGGTTTCCCGAAAATAGGGGACCCTAATATAGCACCCTGAATAGTAGGATCGATATTTTAAGGACCCCAAAATGAGGTACCCCATGGTACCCCTTATTTTCGGAAACTCCCGGACCTCGAAAGCCACGTGCTCCAAGACAGACTTCACCGTTTGCCCGATCCCAAGGCCCGAGGAGTCCCCTAACTCCGGGAAGCCGGAGCGCAACCAAGCTTTCAGGCCTTTTAGGGCTTGAGGGCTTGGGATTTTGGGGTTTAGGGTTTTAGGATTTAGGAGTTGGGGCTTAGGGTTTAGAAGCTTTGAGGCCTTTTGCAAAGGTAGCCTCCTGCAAGACACCGCTGCCAGCTACAATGGCATCTAAAAGTATGATCATTTGGTCGGTATCATCTGTCCAATCACCCTGGACCCAGCGCTTCCGATGCTTGTCCTCAACCCGGGAGGCTGGACTCAGCTGTGCCGGGTAAGATCTTGCTGCCTCTGCTTTGTTCATAAATTCGGTGCTCAAGCCCACAGCGTCTCCCAAAGCACACCCCCACAAAAGGCCTTGGATTTTGTCACGCAGCTCAGCAATCGACAGATCCGTGTGCACTCCAACGCAGACGGTCGGTGGATGTGCCGCAGGCACTGCACGAGCCAATGGAAAGTCTGGGACCTCGTAGTGGCCGTTGATCAGCACGTCAACCCCATCTCTTGCTGCCTGGCATATCTTGGCCATCGATGTTTCGTCTAATGTTGCGGCAGCCCCATCCAAAGTGCAGCTGATATCCGGACGAAAGCTTGAATGCTGTAAAATTGGCATCAGGCTCTCCAAACGATGCTTCACTTCCGGTGCCGTCCGGATCAATGTCCCAACCTCGGCACGTCCCAAGAAGCTGTCATCCGTGGCATTCCAAAGCAACACAACAGCCATCTCCGAGAAGCGTGCTTCTATCCTAAAATTGAGGTCCCCGGAGTTGCTTGCCAGGAAAGCTTGCAAGCTCTCAGCAGACTCCATGTCTGACAAGTCCATGCGCTCGAAGCCCTCGTCGTAGAGGAAAGCCACATCGGTAATGCTTTCCTTGTGAAGGCCCAAGACTTCTGCCAACAATTCCGGCACCTCGTCAGGGCGCGCCCCCGTCAAGTCTACGTAGATGGACTGCGGTGCGAAAGGACCACCAACGTCAGCAACAGTGACTGGCACTTCGAGCCGTTGGCTGTATCGTTGGAAAAACTCCCGCGATATCTCGAGTTCTGTGCCCATCACATTCAAGCCACATCCATCGGACCCTGTCCCGAAAAAGCTGTCCACCGTGTTCCCGTAGAGGATACGAGCACCATCTGCGATGCTGAGAAGTACGTTGCCTGGCTTGCGAGTTACGTTCAAACTTCGGTATGTCCCGGTCGTTGAAATTGAAATGCGCTGACATCAAATGGTCGTAGCTCACTACTTTGGTTACCACTAAGTCAGAGAGCTGATTGCACTCGGATTCCTTTGATCTATTTAATCCAAAAGCCAACCCCAGACCGTTTGCTTCGCAGCTGCAATATGAACAAATAAGACTAATCGTCATAATCATAATCCAAATTGTCATGGAAAGAACCACATTCTACTAGTAACTAGCAAGAATAGGTCTGAACATGATAGCAAGTTGCGTAGCTCCACATGAGCCCAAAGCTTCTCACGCAAGGCCCGTCGGAGGCGGCTGGTTTTCACATCCTCCCAGTCGGCTCGCACAGGGCCTAAGGTCCGCCCCAAATGTTTAGCGATTCCTGGCTCCGGGGCTCGGCGAACCTGTTCCTGCAGTTCCGGATCGGAGAACTTCCCCGCCTGAAAGTAATGCTCGGCACTGGGCCACCATTTGCGCAAACGGGTTGTGGTATCCAACGCCCAGAACCCGTAGCCTTGCGCAAAGTTTTGAAGGCAACTTAACCGACTGTCGGCCAAAATGTCGACGGAGGAAGGTGCAGCGGCCATCACATTCGAACGTGTGCTTGTCGCAATGACACAGATAAAATTAAAAATCTGCGATGACTTACGGGCATGAAAAACTGTTGCTTACCAGCACTTGCTTTGAACCATCACAGCTTCCTCATGCATGCCAACTTAACGATTTCCCCGACCGAGTCCTTACTCCGCGCCGAAGCGTGCAGTCGGCGTGCATGGCATGCATGGCTGCAATACATCTGGCGAAACGAGCTCTGCAATTCTTTCGCCCGGGTTGCCAGCCAAGCCCCTCTGCCAATATCAGCTTGATGCCCTGGCAGCAAGGGTTCTTCATGGAACTGTGGTGCCATCCCCGTTAAACTGACGGTCTCACGTCAAAGGTGCGAGCCTTTTGCCCGGCGACTGTGTCGAATGCGTCCTCACCTCGATGGCACATGATGGCACACGGTTCACAACCGGGCCCCGTGCACCGAGACTTTGAACCAGTGCATGCCAAGCCCTAAACCCCAAACATCCCGAAACCCTAAACATCCCGAAACCCTAAACCCCTAAACCCCTGAACCCCTAAACCCCTTAACCCCTAAACCCCTAAACCCCTAAACCCAACACAGGGCAGAACTTAGGGTGGACCTTTACAGACTTTAGGCCTACACGGTTTAAGGGTTTAGGGATTGTTTTCAGGGAATTTGGGCGTTCAGGGTTAAGGGTTTAGGGTTTAGGGTTTAGGTTAAGAGGCTTGGGGTTTAGGATCGCGGCCCCTACTAGCAACAAGTTGCACTCGAGCCAAAACTGTGAAAAAATCCCCT